GCCCCGGTGGCCCCCCGGGGGGGCGCCCCCGCCGCCACGGCGGGCGCTGGCGGCAGGGACGGCCGCGGCGCCGCGCTGGGTCTCGCTGCGCCGTGGGCCGCGCGCGGGGCGGCCGGCCGGGAATTCGGTCCCCTGAGCAGGGTTTCTATTTTCCCTCCTGCAAACTTCGGTTTTTTGGTGGAACTGGGTCACTGGCGGGTGCTGGAGCGAGAGCGGCGTCACCTTGGCGACGCATCCCGTCGCCATGGCGACCCGCGCCGGCAGCGTTCCCGGCTTTAAAAATCTGACAGCCGAGCGCGGCCGAAGGTTTTAATGAGGACGGGCACCCGCTCCGCTCCCAGAGCCCGATGGCCTAAAAATACCCCCCCATGGGGCATGGCCGCGTTGTGTTCTCCATAGCGGAATCCCACGTCCATTCCGGCTCTCCGGAGACGCTTCTCTGGCCGGCCCGCGGTGCTCGTCCTTCTCGAGGGCCTCGGGCTGCTATTTCAGTCCTTCTTTGCAAGGAAAAAGAGTGCCCAGGACAAGGTGACAGCAGGAGCACGTGGTGCCCTGGCCACTGTCCCAGCTTGCGCATGGTGTGGGGATGAAGGGGAAAGAATTTCGGGAACAGGAGCTTCCCATTCACAGCCAGGGCCGCGCTCCCGAATCCCATGACTGCCGTCAGGAAAAGCTTCACCCTGGTGTCGAGGGCCGAGCAGGAACGGAGTTTGCTCCGGCCTTGCCAGAGCTGGGATAGCTCCCTGCATAGCTGGGAGTCTTTCCGTCGTGGCGGAGGACGTGTCCCGCCGGGAATGCCGGCCGCGCGCCCGGCGCCTGTCCCCAGTGCCTCAGCTCCACCTCCGCCCCGTGCTCAAGGGAGCCGCTGCTCCGGGGACACTTCAGCGCCGGGGTCGGCTCGGGCGCCGGGCTCCTTCCTTCCCACTTCCTGGTGGGTTTTCCCGGCACCGAGCAGCTCCGGTGTCAGCTACATAGTCCCAACCTCTGGCGCTGCTACCTAGGGGGCCCGAACCCAGAAGTGCATCTAATAATGCAGATTTTAACTGGGCCTTTTATACATTTTTTACCAGCCTTTTTCTCCCAGCTTTAGCAGCTCTTTCCATTTTTTTTTCCGGGAAGGGCCTTTGCGGAGCCGCAGCGCCCTGCGGGGCGGGAGCAGAGAGCAGCCGCGCTGCTCGGCGTGCCGGAAGACGTGAGTCATGCCGGGCAGCGCGGAGAGGCCCGCGCTCCGCGTCTGTGCGCCGCATCCCGAGGCACCGTCGGAAAACGCTCCATGTCGGGATGAACCCGGCGGGGTCCGGGCTGGCTCCTGGCAGCCCTTTGTCCTCGCCACGCTCCATGCACCGCTCCTGATTTTATCCCTTTCCAAGGACACCCTGGCTTGGCACCCGTGTCCGGGCTTTGTTTCTCCATGGGGAAAAGCCCGTGGCTCTGGAAAAGCTTGTGACTTGGCTGGGGGGAAATTCCCGGCACTTCTGCTCTCAGAGAGGTGGCTGCAGAGAGGGACCGGCCTCCCTCTGCATCCGCTATTCCCGTTTTAATCCCGGCGCCTCTTCTCATTCCTAGGTGGCTCCTAGAAATGGTCCAGGGGGATGTTGCAGTCCCTGAGGAGCTCTCCGGGTGCAATGGCCTCCAGGTACCCGCCGTGCCGCGCGAGGAATCCAGCGGCTCCCACAGCTACTAACGTGCCACTCTGGCCACAATTGCCGGGTAATTTTATCTCCGCTGAGGCTTGGCATGCGCTCGGCCTCCTTGGCTTGCTCCGGAGAGTTTGTGGGTGGCAAATGCAGAGTTTTGGGCCTCGGGCTCGTCGCAGGTGCCTCTGACCTGGTGTTTGCACCGTTCTGGTGACATCTCCGAGCTGGAGCAGTGGAACAGGACGGTTCCTGGTGGTTCTGCTTGGGAAACACAGTGTGGGAGGCTCCGGTGCTGGTGGAGGGTTAATTTTGAGGATAAATCCTGCTAAACAGTGGCTGAGCGAAGTGAAGGGAAAAGGCGCTGCCGCCGTTGGGGTCTCCCAGGATCGTGGGGTGACACCAGGGCAGGAAGCCGGTGGGAGCGCCAACTGCGCGTCCCCTGCGCCGCTCCCGCATCCACCCCTCGTGCAGCGGGGCCCGTTCACCGGCCGAGCGGCCTTTCCTGGCCCTGGGTCACGGTTCCCATAAAACCCGCGCTTGGCCCGGCTTGCGGGGCAGCACCGGAGGCTGCACTCACAGCGGGGCGCGCGCGACTGCAAACAGCTTAGAAACGAGAGAGGTTCCTCGTCTTTCTCCCTGCGCGGAGTTTAGTCAGAAGGAAAACACTTCCCGGCGGGAGTCTCCCACCTTCCCCCCGGTTCCACGCCTTGCAGATGGCAATCGTGTGGGCAGGGGTTCTCCGTTCTCCCGCAGTGCCCAGGCTGGGCTAGGCTGCCTGCAAAGCCCGTGGAGCCTCTGCCTGCCCTTCCTGGGGAGGGAAGCGGCACCCTGGCTCTCCTCCTGCTGCCTGGAATTCTGCAGGCTTGGGAAAGGCCTGGAGAGGGCACTGCCGCGGCAATGAGGAGTGGGTGCTGGTTCCCATGGGCTGGCTCGGCACCACCACTGCTGCCCCATGGTGTCTCATCATGTCCAGTAGTGTCCAATCGTGTCCCATTGTGTCCCACTATGTCCCATGATGTTTCATCATGTCCGATGGTGTCCCATCATGTCCCATGGTGTCTCATCATGTCCAGTGGTGTCCAGTCGTGTCCCATGGTGTCTCACTGTGTCCCATGATGTTTCATCATGTCCGATGGCGTCCCATCATGTCCGATGGCGTCCCATCACGTCCAATGGTGCCCCATCACGTCCCATAGTGTCCCATGGTGTCCCGCGGTGTCCCGCAGGGCTCCAGCTCGGCGCCACAGGAGGAGCGCACGGGCGGCATCATGGCG